TTTTATATTAGTGATAACACTCAATTGTTAATCCTTTGCCATTTAAGTATTAAAAGGCTTTACTTTTTAGCTCACCTGAGCCGAAGGCTCAAGTGAGCTTTTCTGATCAAAATTTGTCCGTTGTCTGTCGTCGTCGTTGTTGTCGTAAACTTTTCACATTTTCATCTTCTTCTCAAGAACCACTAGGCCAATTTCAACCAAACTTGCCACAAAGTATCCTTGGGTAAAGATGATTCAAGTTTGTTCAAATGAAGAGCCACGCCTTCTTCCAAGGGGAGATAATCATGAATTCGTGAAAAATTAATTGGCATCATTTAAAAATCTTCTTCTCCAGAACAACTGTGCTTGAAAATATGAAACTTATATGGAAGCATTCTCAGGTAGTGTAGATTCAAGTTTGTTCAAATCATGACCCCCGGGGGTAGGGTGCGGCCACAATGGGCGATCAAAGTCTTACATAGGAAAATAAAGGAAAAATCTTTAAAAATATTCTTCTCAAGAACAGCAAAACCATAATTGGTCATATTTATATGGAAGCATGCTCAGGTAGTGTAGATTCAAGTTCATTCAAATCATGACGCCCAGGGGTAGGGTGAGGCCACAATGGGCGATCAAAGTCTTACAGGAAAATAAAGGAAAAATCTTTAAAAATCTTCTTCTTAAGAACAGCATAGCCATGATTGGTCATATTTATATGGAAGCATCCTCAGATAGTGTAGATTCAAGTTTGTTCAAATCATGACTCCCGGGGGTAGGGTGGGGCCACAATGGGCAATCAAAGTTTTACATAGGAATATAAAGGAAAACTCTTTAAAAATCTTCTTCTCAAGAACAACAAAGCCATGATTGGTCATATTTATATGGAAGCATTCTCAGGTAGTGTAAATTCAAGTTTGTTCAAATCATGACCCCCAGGGGTAGGGTGGGGCCACAATGGGCAATCAAAGTTTTACATAGGAATATACAGGAAAACTCTTTAAAAATCTTCTCAAGAACAACAAAGCCATGATTGATTATACTTATATGGAAACATTTTCAAGTTGTGTAGGTTCAAGTTTGTTCCAATCATGACCCCTGGGGGTAGAGTGGGGCCACAATAGGTGATCAAAGTTTTACATATAATACAGTTGAACTTCGGTATCTCGATCATGGATATCTCGAATACAATGGATATTTCGAAGTGATTGGAAAGTCCCAAGCCCCTTTTCTTTAAGTATTTACCCTCAATATCTCGAACCCACAGATATCTCGAAGTTTATTCTCGGTCCCATCGAGTTTGATATAACGAGGTTTGACTGTACATAGGAAAAATCTGTAAAAAATCTTCTTCTCAAGAACAGCAAAGCCATGATTGGTCATTTTTATATGGGTGCATCCTCAGGTAGTGAAGATTCAAGTTTTGTTCTAAACATGACCCCCAGGGGTAGGATGGGGCCACAATGGGTGATCAAAGTTTAACATAGGAATACATAGGAAAAAGCCTTTTAAAATCTTCTTCTCAAGAACAGCAAAGCCATAATTAATCATATCTAAATTGAAGCATCCTTGGGTAATGTAGATTCAGATTTTGTTCAAATCATGACCCCCCCTCCAGGAGAATAAAGGGGCCATAACAGAGGATCATAGTTATACAAAGGAATACAAATGATATAAAAAAATGTCTTCTTAAGAACAGCATAGCCATTATTTGTCATATTAATTCAAAAGCATCCCTTTGAAGTATAGATTCAAGTTCAAATCAACACCCCCTCCCCCCTCAAACCACTTTTATATCAAAACTTTTCAAGACTGAATTGATTTCTGCTTTTTTCCTAGCCAGTGCTCAGGTGAGCGATGTGGCCCCTGGGCCTCTTGTTGAATTCGGTAACTATACAATTAGCTTAGATTACAAAGTTATTGTGAAGTATCATTGACGGAAAAATCCGAGTATATGTATTGGAAGTTATTGATACCAATCATCAGAGAAAAATGAATAGGCAGACATTGTCCTTACAAGATAAATGGACAGGGTGGAATATGTTTTTTTTAAATTACCATTTAGACAATTCTAATCATGTTCATAATTCGGTTAAGACAGGTCCCCCTGACAAAATTGTCTCTACCAGATACCCAAGAAAATCAAATTTCTGGAGAGCCTCTCAAAAGGAGTTCATTATGACATATTGTAAATATTTTTTTGCAAGATTAATGAGTTTACTGACGAAATTAGAATTTATGGTTATTAATATTTTTTCATTAATTTTATTTGGATTTATTGGCATAGATTGTAAAGATTTACAGACCTATATATTTGTATTTTTATTTCATACATTCAGGATTTTCCTCTGCTATTCGCTATTGACAACACCTTCTTGGCAAATAGTAATACATGTGTGCAGCAATGATAAATTTTATCAGACCAGAAGAAGTAATGTGAACGCATTCTCAAATTCTTGAAGAAAAAAAATATACACCCTTTACGTTATTTTGAATATTTACGTGTCGGTAATATTTCCACCTTATATGTAAACATATATTCATATGTTTTGCATTTTATTTTTTGTTTCATATTTCATTATTTTGATAGTTGTCCATAATAAACCGTATTCTTTTAATATTTAATTAGTGTATAACTTTTTCTTATTTTTAAGATTTGAAAGGGAATTGAATTGCATATGATATACCAAAAATACAACTCGCTCAAAAATATTTTATCTAACATACTTTTGTGAACTGAATAAATGCACGTTTTCGAAATAAATATAATGCTCTTAAATTTAGAACAATTTGATATTCTTGATTAATAATTTTCTTGCTGTACTCAGTTGTTCCCCTATTTTGAAGGAATAAAAGCCTTAAAGTATTAAGGCTTGATATGAACTCAATTACAGTATTATAAAACTTTTTTTTTCGGATATTGAGCACCGTTCTCCCAAGAGTGCCTTCCGCAAATTTGTTTAATTTACAAGTTGCTGGCATGTTTTGAGTAAGGTCCTGTCTTTTTCATTTGACCCAAATTGCTTTCATTTGGGTTTAAAAAGGACTGTTCCAGGGCAGCGGAAGTGTACAGTTCGTCTGAGAATCTCTCTTCTGCTTTTTTAATTATTTCTTGCTGCTCAAGTACTAAACAAGTACACATAGTACTAACATCTTTCAGCATTCCCTGATAAGCACGAAAGAGTTTCTCAAACGCATCGAATTTTCTACACCGATGCAGCCCTGGAAGGAATCCCGATTGAAACTCTACCTTAACATTTAAGGCAAAAATATACGTTGCAATAAGAAAGACTTGTGAAAACATGTCAACGACTAGGAAAAAAAGGTGAAAGACACGTCATTGGGAATCGTACTCAATTCCGAAAACGTTCTGTGAAAACTTAATTTATAGCAAACCTAGTGACATTGAGGTTGTTATTTGTGCAAAAAGGGGAGCAACTAAATACTTAAAAAAAAAGAAAAGAAAATTCCAATCATGATTGTGAAAACTTTTATACAATTAGTTGCAATATGTTTATTTTCAAAATGTGCATTAAATTAGTTCACAAAGGCATGAAAGATGAAAAATGTTTTGCGCTTTACAAAGAAAAGAAGAGCCTGATTCATTTGAGTCAAGAAAAATGAACAACTCTACAATTTTACGCAAATACATTCCCCTTTCCAAGTCTATATCCTCTTTTAAACAATCGTGTAGTATGAAATACATGTATAGTAGGACATGAATAGTATTTTTTTACTCTGCCGTTGTAGAAGTGTTTTCCTTTTTGTAGCTTTTACAAAACAACATCAAGTATGTAACACAGTATTAAAAACAGTAGAACTATTAACTAACAAACCCAACCTCCACTAAAACTATTTTAAATATAAAAGGAACACAAAATCAATAAAATTTCGCGAGAATTCAAAATTAAATTCTATTTAGCAGGCGGTTTCAATCTTGACACCGTCCCGTTATTAAAGTTACTTTACTTTTTTTATTTTGGCTATCTATCTATTCCTTTTAGTGTACAAATTTAGACACGTGCTTTTTGACTGCCATGAAGTATCCACTCCAGAGAACAATCCACAAACTTAACCCTAAATGGTGGTGTCCAAATTTGACTTGCATTATTAATACTATTCTTAATATATATTGCAAAAATGCATATAGTCATACAATTTGAAATTTTTTTTTTCGATTGCAAGGGACCATTTTTTTGCTGGTCTACAAATTTCATACAATTGCTACATGTACTTGATGTCAGCAAAAATATACATACATGAGTGGAAATAGATCTTAGAGAGGGAGAGACAGAGAAGCCAAGCACGGCCTCTTGATAATTATCAGTGCCAAATTGAAGGATGTGATTTAATATCAATGTTCTTCTTTGACCACCTGAAATATCACATGACAGTGTTTAACAACTTATACTCAGTAGCTAACAATAACTATAACTCTAACTGCTACATATCAATTCTAAGGAAATGCAAAACAGGAACTATATCACATAAATAGCTAGCTTAGACAGATATAAGTTAACAGAGTTATGGTAGAGTCAGCTAAATTGGCTTACATTCCAAATTCTTATAAACGTAATGTTGGGTTACAGATAGGTAATGGAAAGACTGCATATACCACATCATATAATGCTGCAAACAAATCATATAATAATGCAGCAACTGCATATAAAGGTGCAGCAACTGCATATAATGATGTGTACACTGCATATAAATGATAAAATCATGACATATAAAATATAATGACGTAACCACATTATATTATGATTTATATTCTCCCTCACTTCGTTCGTCCGAATATAAATCAATGAAGTGCTAAATTAATAAAACACAACATATATTAAGTAGGAACGCTGCTCGCTAGTGCTTTTATTCCATTATAAACTGCTAACACATAACCATAACACATTAACTAATACAACTGTAAATCCCAAATTCATTGCACTCCATTGGATTTTCATCACTATCAGCCATATCTTTAAATCCTAGCGAGCGAATTTGGAGTGCCGTGCTACCGCATGGCCTTACTATTTATACCCTATATAATCACGTGACTTTCAAAGAAACTTTTTGAACACGCTACATAATACCATGCCGCACATAATTTTAATTATATTCTCCCTCACTTCGTTCGTCCGAATATAAATCAATGAAGTGCTAAATTAATAAAACACAACATATATTAAGTAGGAACGCTGCTCGCTAGTGCTTAGAGATTCAAAGAGATAATATAATTGGGCTGATTACATACCGTGCAATTACAACTATATATATAAACAAACATAAGTTCACAAAAAATAATTTTAATAATTATATACACATAGAACGTAACTTATATGCGTAGATTCTTTGTAACATTCAACTGCTTTGATACAGAATCCTTAATATAATTGTCCCTTGAAAATTCTGTCTTCTAACGACCATGTATTTTTAATAACCTGTCATTTACCCCACATGAAGCTGCAGAAGTAGCGCCACCGCTACGTAAACTATGTAGACCAAACAGTTTTGGATCCAAACCAATGAACGATAAAGAATCAAGTAATATTTCACGTGCCCTGGTGTAAGAAATAGGTTTGTTGATACTACAAAGTCTGTGACATTTACCTGATTTGAAATAACGTACAGACCTAAAAACGAAATCGTCTGGTTTTTCTGATATTTCCGCTAATTGTAAATAATGTTTTGTCCAAAACACGGGACATGTAGCATTACCTGTACTTGCAATGAGAACATCATTACCCCGTCTATAAACGTCAGTTTTGCTACTCTCAATATGTAAACGCATATAAAAATCATGAAAAGAAATATTTCTTACTCTTAAATTAGCTAATTCATGAAACCTTAAAAATCCCACAAACCCCATCAGAAACATAGCACACACTCTTACACTTAATAAGTTATTTTTTCGACTGTCATCACCGTATTTGCTTATGATCTGCTCCAAAATTTCGGGCGTTATGGGTTCTTTCTTCTGAATTGGCTTACTAAAGATTCTTTTTCCCCCTTCCATAACCATATGCAGAATTTTTGTATCACACGGATTAGCGCACACATTGAAATCGTGGAACCACTTGATACTGTAAAAATAGGCTGATAACACTGATTCTGACACCGACTGCTGCACGAGACTGCTAAGAAAAACGGCCACCGTACTCACTGCCGCGGGTAAATAAGAAACACCATGATCTGAACACCAGGTCCTAAACTTTTTAAAATATGCGTCGTACATTTTATTTGAACTATCACTCTTCCCTTTTCTGATTATGTGCTGAATATCTGATGCTGCTAAATAAAGTCTGTTGTCCTTTTTCATTTCCTGAATTTCTGTCCAAACACTGCGCATCTATGGGAAAAAAAATGGTCTCATATTAAGGTTATGAACCACCAATCACATCTAAATACATGCATATCGACATAATAATTTCATCACAAAAAACTGTTGTTTTTAAACAATTAGACAAATCTTTTTGCACATGGTGCGGAATTTTTTGCACATGGTGCCATTCCTAACAAAAGCTTTGCACATGGTGCATGCATTTACACTGTACATTGAATTGCACGTGGTGATCAATTGTTTAACCTCTCAAAATTTACTTTCAAAACCAGCACGTTACTCTGAAAATTTTCTGATGCAAAAATACTGTTTTTGTCTGAACCAGCTGTGAAAAATTTTGTAGGCCTTTTATATTCATAAAACTTCAGCACAAAATCGTGAAATTTATTTTGCCTTTCATTCCAAACCATCGGCCGAAACAAAGCGGATTTCCATTTTGGAATTATTAATGTACCAAATGCTTTACATATTTGCATATGATTGATAACTTTGCATATCAAAGCAGGTGGGGTACAATCCAACAATTTTCATCAGCCCAATTTTGTGCAAACGCATCAACCCCTGAAGACCCGGGAGTCCAAAATCTAGAATAAATTTTTTTTAACCTTTCTTTTCTTACTATCTGCAAATAAATCACATGTATATTCTCCCCAAACTTCATTAAAAAAATTAAAAATTCTGTTTGAAACTCCCCAATCATCATCATCATAAATCTCGCTTAAATCATCTGCAGCTGTATTCATAGTTCTAGGAATCCATTCCAACTCTAATTTTATAGAATGCGCAACGCACAAACCAAACATTTCCAAAACAAGCTGATGCAGCTCGTAATTCATACTACCCTTAGAAACAATAAGTACTGCATTTTGATTATCTGTATACACTTTAACAAGCTACCCGACAGATAATTATGCAAACTTTCAATAATCACACAAATAGCTTTTATTTCTCGCCACGTAGAACTTTTTAATTTTTCTGAATCACTCCACATGTAATGCACAACCTTTTCATTTTGTTCTAAAGAAAAACCTGCTCCCGCAAAAGAACTAGCATCCGAAAATAAAACTTTTGCGGGTGTTCTTCTAAACCATATGATTTTTGATCTTGGTAAAGTGCCCAAATTCTTATACCAAAAAAGCAATTCAATAATACAGTCACGTGACATATTCAACACACAATCCCAACTAGTTCTCTTACACAATGCCATGCTCAAATGCCGTGTCATCAGCTGACAAATATTACCTAATGCAGATTTCAATGAAATTACCTTTCCCACAATGGAAGCGATATTTCGCTCAGTTACTCTACTTATATTGTTCACTATTGAAGCAACAACAGAACGGATACTGTCAATTTTTTCATTCGGAACTTCTAAAATGCCATCCTTCAGATTCCATAAAAATCCTAACCAAATCATTTTATCTACTGGAATAAACTGAGACTTTTCAATATTAACCTGGAACCCTGAGTGATCTAACGTTTTTTGCAGAAACGTGGCTATTTCTAGACAAGAATTGTAATCAGAACACACCCAACCATCATCGAGATAAACTACGACTGGAATGCAATGAGATCTCCAATATTTTACCAATACTCTGACAACTTTTGTGAAAATATGCCCCGCAGAAGAAAGCCCAAAAGGCAAAACAGTAAATTTAAAATATTTCTGTTTTCCTTGAAATTCCCAACTAAACCCTAAATACTTTTGGAATTCAGGATGTACATCTATATGGTGGTAACCGGATTTTAAGTCGAATTTAATCATGAATTTTCCTTCTTTAGCATTTAACATAGCTTCCTTAATTCCCTCAAATTTGATTTTTTGTTTCTCGATAAACTGATTAACATGTCTGAGATCTAAAAGAAGACGTTTTTTACCAGACGCGTTAACAGATACTGTCAAAGGATTAACTACAAAAGATGGTTCATGAACCTCTCTTATACATCCATTTTTAATTAAGTCTGAGATAGCCGAGCAAACAAATTCTGTGTGATTTAATGAAGATCTGTTATTTTTTTTAAAATAATACTAGATGGAAGTTCTTTGAAAGGGATAGCATACCCGCATCTTATAGTATTCAAAATAAAACTATTAGCATTAAGCTCAGAATTCCAGAAATTTATGCTTTTCTTTAGCTTGGATTTAACACTGACCATCTTAACATTTTGCTCATATTCATATTGCTCATTTAAATCAAACATATTCTCAACTTCACTATTTTCATTGCTTAGAGGTTCCACTTGTAGTTGATGTTGGCAAGGAGGGGATGGGCTGTCCTTTAAGGTAGGGACAGTCTCTAACCATGTGTCCGACTTGCCAACAGTAGAAACATCCACCACGATCTCTTTGGAACTGGAATCCTGTAGTTCCGACCCTTATAGCCCCTGTATTGAATTTGTCGGAGGAATTATACGACTGGCTAAAGCCACGAAAAAGGTCACTGGGCGCAAAACCTTCTCTGCGTCTCTCATATGGTTTGCTTCTGAAGGAACGTTTTCTTGCAGCACGTCCCACCACGTAACGAAGCTTAGCGGCGTCTTCAGTATTATCCGCCAAGGGGTCATCGAGATACTCGTGCACAGTATCCCATCCGTGACGGTCGGCGATTTTTAAAATTTTGTTTCTCTGCTGTAGGACAGTCTTTTCTTCCGCAATAACTGCTGCGGTCTTTGTAAAATCCCCCTCCTGAATGAGTACTTCAATTTCAGACAACTTAGAAAGTCTATCTTGGTTAAAAGCGAATTGAATCTTATGCCCCTCATGCTTAAATTCAAATGTTTTTCTGGACTCAGGCACGTGTCCTGCACTTTTCAAGGCAATACTTTTTCCTAGTTGTTCTGTAAGTCCCGTAATTGTACTCACGATCACATTACTTTGTTTTTCTAGCGCTTTATTGAGTGAAGCACTAAACAGCGAAACGGTCTCCTCGTTTGAGAGCCCAAATTCATTGCACTCCATTGGATTTTCATCACTATCAGCCATATCTTTAAATCCTAGCGAGCGAATTTAGAGTGCCTTGCTACCGCATGGCCTTACTATTTATTCCCTATATAATCACGTGACTTTCAAAGAAACTTTTCGAACACGCTACATAATACCATGCCGCACATAATTTTAAATAACCACTGCATATATTGATTTAAGCATTTCATATTATGAAATAAACACTGTGCACATATTATGAGATAACCACTGCATAAAAAAAAAATAGCCACTGCATATAATAATTTAACCACTGTATATAATAATTTAGCCATAGCTAAGAACAGTGGAAAGAACAAAAATGATGATAATTTTAAAAAAGTTAATGAAAGTTTACACAGGACAAACAATAAAAACTGATCAAATAAGTCAATAAGGGGTACAAAATGTGTTAAATTGAGTATTTTTTGCGGAAAACACAAAAACATGATGATTTTAAGTTACATATAATTATTTATTTAAGAATGACCTTAATTCAGGTAGCTACGGCATTCCATAGTACACACTTATCAGAATCAATCTATGTTTGCTTTTCACAGAGAAGTATTTGTCTCCTTTCGCTTTAAAGTATATGAAATAAGGCATCTGATGTAGAACCAAAAACTGGTAAGTTCAGATATTATTATCTTGCTGATGCAATAGTACTTTAACATTGTCCAAATCAAAAGATTACACATTTACCACAGCTATTGATATTTTTAATTGCTGTGCAGGCGAAATAACTCTTGCATCCTTGTTCACTGAAAAAAAAATCTAGAAGCGTAAGTTTGGTAGGGTTAATGGCTTAAACGCTCTGATTACTTTATTCGGAAAAAGAACCATGAATAGTTTATCAAAAATAAAACTTTCGGAATTTTCCCTCAGTTGTAAACTATCAAGTCTACTCAGCAGTGAGGCAATCATCATCATCATCATAATAGTCATTTCTTTCGAAAAAAAAAAAAGATTTCTCTAAAGAATATTTCTCCAGATTGTTAAATGTGAAAACCATTTATGTATAACCTGAGCATTAAGGGGGTTGATTTTAAGAATCCTGGAACTCAGGGATATGGACTTTTTTCCCAATTTTTTCCCCATTTTTTGAAGGCAATTTAACTGCTTTTTGAAAACAATATTAAACAAACAGACAAACGAAGATTTTTAAAAATATTCTCATATTATCCGAAGAAAAAATTGTCCCCGTGTTTAGCCCAAGTGATCCTAACTTTGTAGAATATGAATATGGTTCAAACAAGGGACATGAAAACATTTTCACTACCGTGATCCAACCCTTGTCATAAATGATCATCATTGAAATAAGATTCAAATCTCGCGCCATTTTGTTTGAGTGCTTACAGGCTCTATTAATGCATGAAATCTTTGAGAGTTTGTGTCGTAAGGAGTGATATAACGATTGTGTTGAAAGTTTAAGCACCAGTAATACAAAGAATTATTGTAACAAATAACAGTAGAAATGTTTTAATAGTTATGCATTGTGACAAACTCTGTTACAAAGAAAAGCACTTTTGCACCTAAAGACTTTATTCATAAAATATACGCATCGAAGGTATACACATTTAAAATTATATTACAAATAATGCACTTCTGAACAAACCAACATTATATTTTATTCATAAAGCCCTTATTTTAGTCTAAAATAGCAATCCTGGAGGACCATTGGGAGCAAGAAAAATATCATAATCGGACGTTAGATTTACATGTATTATTTAGGGAGCACAAACTTTTTTTTTGTACATATAATATTTATTACCAAAATAACTGTATTTGAGATGGAGGTTAACCCCCTCCAGTGCAACGGTTCCGCAGGGCTGCGATTTCAGAACATAAAACATTTTTTACAGCACGTCGTAGATAAGTGAGTGGAGCTTGAACTGTCAACGGCAAGCGAATCAAAAAACATTGTTCCGTCACTTGTTAAGACACAAACCTCGTAACACTTCATGCCTAAACTTGTATTCCGCTACACTGTGGCACTATTTTTCTTAAAGGGGTAGATTTTCAAACATTTTTCCTTGTACATTAAGAAACATAAATGTAGCCAAATATACAAAAAGAATTGTTTTGAATTACAGCCTGATAAGCAGAGATAAAGAAAACATCATGATCATTTTGTTTCTGAATAAACAGACCGTGCTCACTGGTCTTAGCATTGGCCTCTGTGTACGTATTACGTCATCAAATGAATGAGATATTGTTTGCCACCAGGACCATGTTGCATCTCGCTTGTAGGCCATTATAAAAGTACATGTTTAACTCAATTGTTTTTCAATATCCCTTATGGAAGCATTCTTTTTTATTTAATATCAAGAGAAAGGTGCTGACCCCTCAATTTATGGGCTCAGAAGGGACCAGAAGATTTTCATCTTTTACTCTTTCACAAGCAATATTCTGCTTATATATATATATTACCGATCTAAACAATCTGAAACTACATAAGTTTTTGATAATTTATTGCAAAATTAGGGGGCCTAAGGGGCCAGAATACTCAATGTTTGGCGCTTTATATCTGGAAAAGTGGAATATTTTGATACGTATTATTGAACAACAGCACGTACAGGACTATGATGGGAATGTTTAAAATAAAAATTTCGAACCACTTGATAATGATGAATGGGGTTCATCTCTTTTTTCTTTCAAAATCAAAATTAAGAGGAGAGCTAGGGGATTGTGGACAACCCCAATATCCCTCTGTAGATCCTTCACTGTTGGCTTCTCAAATTCACTCTTGAATAAGAAATGCAAATGTTGTATTTCCATGTTTAAATTTAGTCAAATATTTTCGTATTGATTTAACGTCTAGTTTGCTAAAATAAATTCTAGCCATATTATATATTTCAACTTGTATAGAGAATAAGAAAGGCAAATCCTACATCCATTTCTCTAAAGAGTATAGTGTTTAAGCACAAAACTGATTTTTTTTCTGTATTGTGAATTGAAAAGCACTTATCCCTAAGTTAAGCATAAATCATAGTACTGGATTTAAACCTTTACCGCTCTGTTTGTCAACATGTTCAATATAAATAAGAGTACAATAATCGTAGGCATTAGAAATCAATTGAAATTTAACATTACGGTTTGCAAGACTTGGTTAGTTTTTGAATCAGTTAGATTATATTTGTAAATCAAGTATCAACCGTTTTTACTTAGTACAGGAGAATGTAGCAGACCCTTAATATACGGAAGCCTCTGTGATTTAAAATACTTGGATTGGATACTTTTATTTGTACTCTTTAATAAAAAAATAATCCACTACAAAATTTTCAAGTATTCAAAAATTATAATTCTGTGTTACTTTTGCTTTATATCAGAGATGGAATCTGTTATTCATTTAACTGGCAATGTTAATGAAACTTAGTCATTGCAGGTCAAGTTTAAATCCCAGAGTGTCCATGTATGGAAGCGTAGAGGTGTCTATACTAAGTGTTTTATAGATGGTACATTGTCTTATTTTTTTAGCGTCTTATCAACATGTATAGTATTAAATCCTCTAATTTATGGACATATTCTTTTTATTATAGTTAAATCATCTTCGTTTAGTTTTTCTATAATCGTTATTTGACACTATGCACATACTCCCGAGGGATGTGCTCCCCCCCCCCTCCCGTAAGTTCGATAACAATATTTTCTAACTTTCCCACACAAACACAAACATATTTATATCGATTTAATCACAAAGCATATAATTTAATTGTTTCATAAAAAAAAATGCTACACTGATATAATTAGATATTAAGCTTATATTAATATTTTCATTTCAATATTTTGTAAAGTCGATATAACTTACAGCAACAAAATAAATCAAATAAAAGAAAATGAAATAATCAAATCAAATAATATAATCTTCTCTAAATGCAAAAAAAAAAAAAAAAAAAACAAAACAAAAAAAAAAAAACAAAACAAAACAAAACAAAACAAAACAAAAAGAAAGAAAAAACAACCCCCCCCCCCCAAAAAAAAAAAAAAAAAAAAAAAACCATTCTAGATAAAATATAAATATATGTGTATAGACAAGAAGATATAATACTTAATATGTTGAAGACTAAAAATAAGACAATGTGCAAATTATAACTGTGGAACACTTCTGTTATCCTTCTGGCCCTGACGTGTCTTGTAGGAGTATTAAACCTCAACTCTCAATTTTGAATCGTAAGAATAATATACCCAATAACCTGCTAATGAATAACTGTAAAAAAAAAAAAAATAGAGAGTGATTTTGTATAATTTCGGAGCACAAAGTGTAAGGATGTTTTGCCAAAGTGTAGACAAAATTACGCTCCCTTTTGATCTAGGCGTTTCAAAAATACCTCAATTTTTTTAGCTTCACATCCCAAGGAATGCAAAGATTTGATTAATCTAGAAACGGTATTCAATGAATAAACGATACTATTTTTATAAATAAAAATTGCGACCATTATAAAATAAAAAGAATTATATTATCATTATTATTATTTACAAAAATTGACGATTTATCCAATAATCCAATATTCTAAAATCTTCTTGTCAAAAATGTTGAATTCATAATTCATTTTACAAATCTACTTTTTCAAGGTGTGCCGATTAAGTGCAGGATATAGGTTGAAACTATGAGGTAATTTACAGATCTACCGCACCCAACAGACTATTAATATGGCCATCATTGCCGCCTCATAATACTATAAATTCAAGCAACTATCGCCTAATCTCTATAGATATTGACTTACTGACTATAATTCAATGTTTTCTCTTTATTCATTATATAGGCAAAATTAAAGTAAAAGTGAAACATGATTAACTTGTCCGTCAACACGCAGACCTTGCTTGCAGCACTGAGTATAGGTCTCTTTGTATATTACGTTATCAAACGAATGCGATATCGTCTGCCGCCAGGACCTTGGTGCATACCACTTATCGGCCATTATAAAAGTAAGCATTATTTTCATATTATTTTGAATTTCATTTTGATTTTTTAATCATGAATTTATCTAATGCAGTAATGAAAAAAACATATATTAATTCTAGAGTAGATAAACAAAATATACACCAAAGTCACTGGACGTTTTAATTTTATTTTGATTTTTCAGAGAGTCGAACTGTTTTCTTGCATAGTATAGGTCACTAATGTGTTTTATTCTCAATAAAGAGAAACACTAATGTGCATACGTTTAACGAATTTTTTCATTCAATACGTGATAAATTGAAAATACATATTTTTGCTGTTATTGGCAATACATTCACCGATTTTCATGAACTTATGCATGTAGATTTAAATTTTCGCATGTTAAAAGAGAGAATTTATAAGTATATTTCAATAATATTATATTAAAATACTAGAGTTGCTCAACAATTCAAAAAATGATGAAAATACTATAAATAAAATTTGGTAAATATTAGTTGTATATCATCAAGATCATTAATTAGGTTCACATTTTGTAATCTTTGTCATCTTTCAGTTTACTCTTCTGTTGAAATGCACAAGAAAGTTGCGGAGCTGTCCAAAGTGTACGGTCCTGTTGTACGCCTGTTTTTTGGTGAGGTTTAGTTAATTCCTGCAACAATTTAAAAGAAATGTTGAGTAAACCGACTTTTGTTTCCTATTCTTCTAGGCTAAAGCTAGATGATATAAAACACGAATCGTTTGGTAAAAACTGTATGATGTCGAAAAAAGCAGTGTGACTCAGATTAGATTTAGCTTTATTGGCTTCTTATGTTGATTTCAAAATAGGTACACAAACTTGGATTTTCCTAAACAGTAATGAAGTTGTAATAGAGGCATTGGTAAAAAAGAAGGCAGATTTTGCTGGAAGACCAAAGTCAGCATCAAGTAATATTAATAATTAATTAATCACTGAATAAATTATATTTTAAAATTAAGTGTACAAAAGCACAATACAGAATGATAGTTGTAGCAATTCCAAAAATAGAGAAAGTTTTTCAGAAGAAATTTTTCATTATATGGAAGATATGTGTGTATGTTTCAGCTGACGCAATAACTGCAGGAGGTAAAGACATAGTGTTTAGTACTTATTCGCCAACTTGGAAACTTCACAGGAAAATAGCCGGCAAAGCTCTCAGGTGTGTTCCTATGACAAAAAAATAAGGACTTGGAAAATGTTTGAAGTGATATTTCGCTGAGAAATAACATGGATGACGACTTATAGAAGATAAGATTGCATCTTCAAAGTTAAAGAAAAAGAAAGGACATTTTTAACGATTGCCATTGTTTTTGTTAAAAACTTTTTTTCTGTACTCGAAAGATTCTTAGAATACTTTTTATATCATTAAAGGAAAGATTTTGTTTTAAAAGAAAATATATCAATATTTCTGAGTAACATTTTAAATCATAATATCATTGCAAAAATGTGACAAATATAGAAATCGTTTTATTCTAGGAATTATTTACAAGGGGATCTTCTTGAAAATATGATACAAGACAACATGGAGAAATTCCTAAATAAAATGGCACAGGAAAAAGATCCATTCATATTTAAAGAATACGCAGATATTATGGTCTTCCACCAACTGTACACTATTTGTTTTGGACAGAAGTAGGTTTAGGAGACAAGTTCTACTTTCAGTGAATTTCGTAAATCAGTGACACCTAAATGTGCAAAAAATAAATAAATAAATAAATAAATAAATAATAAAATAAAATGAAAAAAATATAAAAAATATTTTAAAAAAAATTCCAGGCGTGTAAAACCTTTTGATTTTAATCACTTATATATTTCTGTTATCCAAATGAATTGAAGCAAAATAAATGTTTTACCAGACTTCCTATTGATGACCCGGAAGTAAAAACACTTCTTAAACTAGATGAAGACTTGATTGCTGATTTGGGTACTGGATTCGTGGAGGATTTAATACCGTGTCTGAAGGACATTTGTCCTACAGCAAAGTGGAAGAATTTTCTGAAAGTGGCAGACCAAGTAACAAAATTGATAAGCACCAAATACAGAAACCATGTAGATACATATAAACCAGGTAATCAACTTTTATCAGAAGCTGGCGATAATCCCCTATTGAAAAGTGAAAACAAATATCAATTCAATCTCATGCAAAATTTTGAGGAGAAAAATTTCTATAGAATTAATTTTTCGTACAATTATTTATACAGTATATAAATGTACTCCTAAATGTGTAACGAATCATATGCTTGGTATACATGTATAAATAATATTTCTTAATGTTTTGAAGGTGTCAATAGGGATTTTATTGACAGTTTGTTGGCGGCAAAAGAAGAAGCAGAGAATGAGGGAGACGAATCCGCCCTGGAGAAGTTGGACGATACACGTTTAATTCAAACCATATCAGATATATTTTTAGGTAAGAAGTGTGTTTCGGTTACATTTGAATTCCATGGCATATTTTTGAACAAATACGAGGGATACTTTAGTCTAGGCAATAAAGCTGGTTTATCATCAGGTTACATCATTTGTTTAAATATTGTTTTTTTTAAATTGCAAAGCCAACAAAAAAAGCAAGTAAAATATTTCCCAAACATTGTATTTTTTTTTCAATAGCATTATCATTATTTCATTTTATTTTCTTATTCTTTTTTTCTTAAAATTTTCAAAGACAAATCCTAAATTTGTTTTCTTTTCTTTTTGGACATTCCATTAAGAAACTATACGATAACTACTAATTATGACGAACGTTTTTTAACAGCTGGCGTGGATACAACCAGATTTACAATGGACTGGTTTGTATATTTCATGACCAGATTCCCGGAAACACAAATCAAATGCCAGGAGGAAATTGAAAGAGTCATTGGTACTTTAGATTTCTAGAGTAACATACATTAATTGGAAATCTAAAAAAACAAATTACATTAATAGAACACATTTTATTTGGCTTTCATAAGCAAAATATGATATCACTAGAACTTGGGATGCTAATTAATAGCTGCATCTATATTTGAAATTTTTGAAGGAGCAAGACACCCATCAATGAGGGACCGTAACAAATTGGACTACACGGAAGCTTGCTTGTTTGAAAGTATGAGACTTGGAAGTGTTACAGGACTTGGTGTCCCACACATGGCCATTTGTGATTCACAAGTCGGTCTGTATTGTAAAATAATGTCGTTTTTAAAGATTTTCACTCATCTTCTTTTTAAAATGATACAATCGTTGTTCATTCTATATTTTCATTTTTATAAGACCCTTAAAATGGTATGATATTAAAATTGTTAAGAATACTATTCCTTTCAAAAATAGGGGGATATGACATTCCAAAAGGCACCACGATCTTTATTAACCACTGGGCTCTTCACAATGACCCAAAGTTCTTTAAAGACCCAGAAAAATTTGACCCATATCGTTACCTTGATGAAAATGGGAAAAAGAAACCTGCCAGACCCGATAGTTGGCTTCCGTTTTCAGCTGGCAGCAGAGTTTGTTTGGGAGAAACGGTCGCCAAACCTGAAATACTGTTGATGTGTGCAAACCTGCTGCAGCGATTTGAAGTCCGTCTTCCAGATGGCGAGAAAGCAAATCCTGAATACAAGCAACTGGGACTTGGCACAGAACTTCCATCTGAGTATAAAGTCATTGTCAAGGATAGGATCATCAATCAATGATATGTGGGATATATTATCATTTATAAACAATATATTAAGACGTTCAGAAAGAATTTCCTGCTTTTGTATCAGAAGGCATGATTTGAAAGAAAGGCGACTAAGAAACGCCTTGATTACTCTCCATGTATCGAACAATGGGTTCAGAATTGAATGTGGGTTTACTTCTATGATACCCCTGAATCTCTGTGAATGTTTTAAGGAAACATACGTTGACGTTATTTTTAAGTGCTTGTTTTGCAGCCGAGCTTTGGCCCTCTTCCTACATTTTATTCCTTTTTGATAAATTTTTGTGGAAAAATAACTTAAAAATTTGATTTTAATGAAATATATCAAATGCGCTTTTAATGGATTTCATGTGCAAACATGTCTGAAGTTGGAGGTTTTTTCCCGTTTTTTAACGGGAAATAAGGGATAAGATACTCAATATAATTTTTAAAAATAGGGTTTAAATCTCCATTTTAAATAAATTACTATGTACATCGTATACCTGAAGGGATTGGATTTTTAAACGTTATTATGTTCCCCCCAAAAGTTTGAGAACATACTGTTTATTTAGTTTCTTCTTTCTTTCCCATAATTTTTTTTATTGTCTGCGAGTTTTCTCTGAAAATTATTCATCCACATGAGTAAATGAGTAATGAGTAATGAGCAATGAGTAAAATTACAATTTTTTAATTAAGATATTTTTAACTATATTTTATGAACTGCTTTCAAAGTTAATATATAAACAAATATATGGGTGTCTAGACAAGATGATATGGTTCTAATAGCAGGAAGGCTAATGTACGTTCTCTTGACTCTGATTGGTTGATTCTAAAATATTTACAACTTCCTTGCTTCATGACAAAATAATTTGACATTTAAAATACATTTAATTTATAGGTATATACCATGATACACTACAAGAGAATATATACGAAAATTAAAATATGCATAGGAGAAATCTAAAGAACACAAGCATGCCCATGTGCTGAAATATATGGTCTGGAACTTTCATGATATTCAAAATATCTTTTGAACTTTTATAAAGTATCCTTGTATTGTGAATTTTTTGTGCTTTATACATTCCCTTTGTTCATTATATATTATTTATAACACTCAATTGCTAATCCTTTGCTATTAAAATATTGAAAGGCTTTACATTTTGAATTCGGTAACTATATAATTAGCTCAGATTACAAAGTTATTGTGTAGTATCATTGATGGATGTATCCGAGTGTATAAATTAGAAGTTATTGTATACCAATCATCAAAGAAAATGCGAAGGAATTACAAGATAGATGGAGAGGGTGGAATAAGATTTTAATTACCATTTAGAAAATTCTAATCATGTTCATATTTCGGTTAGGACATGTCACCTGACAAAATTGACTCTACCAGATACCCAAGAACGACAAATTTCCAGTGACTCTCAAAAGGAGCTCATTACAGTGTATGACATGTTGTAAATATTTTGTTTTGCAAGGTTTATGGGTTTACTGAGGAAATTAAAATTTATGTTTATTAGTATTTTTTCATTCCTTATACTTGGATTCATTGACAGATTTCAATGATTCACAGAGCCATACATTTGTGTTATACAGTTTCATTTCATACATGAAGGATTTTCCTCTGCTATTCACTATTGACAACAACTTCATGGCATATAGTAATACCCATGTGTATCAATGATTTATTTAATCAGACTTTAAAAAGTAATATGAAAGCATTCTCAAATTCTAGAAGAAAAAATATACACCCTTTATATTATTGTAATATTTACATGTCGGTAAGATTTCCACCATATATGTTTAGACATATTATCATGTTGATTTTGCATTTTATTTGGTGTTTTACTATTTTATTATCTTGATATTTGATATAATAAACGTATCCTTTATAACAAATACTTATTGCATGGATTTTTCTTATTTCTTAAAGATTTGAAAGAAAAATAATTGCATAAAATATTCAAAAAATACAGCTCGCTAAAAAACATTTTGATTTAACATAGGTACTTTTTGTGAACTGATTAAAAGCACGATTAGTAAATAAATATAATGCTATGAAATTTAGGAGCAATTTTATTTGAAATCTGATATTCTTGATTAATAATTTTCTTGCTGTGTTCAGTTGTTCTCCCTTTTTTGAAGGAATAAAAACCTTAAGGACATACACAGCGTACCTTTTCTACTGATAATTTTTCAAGATATTCTTAATTTAAAAATTATAGTACCATCAGATGTTCGTAAACAAAAAAATCAGCATGCATTACCAGGTGTATTGAATAGACATCAATTGATGAAAATTCTTGTGTAATTCAAAGAAAAATATACAAACATATATTCTAGATGTTTTTGTCATCAAATTTTGTTTTAGAAGAAATGTCCAACACCATATATAGGCATTAAAAGAGTAGCACACAGGTCATTCAAGTATTGAAACTCTTCAATTCCAGAAAAAAAGGACAATAAAATTCAAACTACCTTGCGTATGTCCTTAATGTATTAAGGCTTGATAAGAATTCAATTACGATATTATAGAACTTTTTTTATATATATATTGAGCATCGTTCTCCCAAGAGTGCCTTCCGCATATTGTTTTAGTTAACAAGTTGTTGGCATGTTTTGAGTAAGGTCCTGTCTTTTTCATTTGACCCATATTGCTTTCATTTGCCAATGGGTATAAAGCAGGACTGTTTCAGGACAGCGGAAGTGTACGTTTCGTCTGAGAATCTCTCTTCTGCCTTTTTTTTTTTTTTAGTTTTTTCTTGCTACTTAAGTACTAAACAAGTACACATGGTACTAACATCTTTCAGAATCCTCTGATAAGCATAAGAGAGTTTCTCAAACTCGTCGAATTTTCTACACCGATGCAAATTGGAAGCAATCCTGTTTGAAACTAAATCTTAACATTTAAAGCAAAATATTCAATGCAGTAACAGTAAGAAAGACTTTGGTGAAAACATATCAACGACTAGGAAAAAACAGATGAAAGACACATCATTGGGAATCGTACTCAATTCAAAAACCGTTCTGTGAAAACGTAATTAATAGTTAACCTAGTGACATTGAGGTTGTTATTTGTGCAAATGAGGAGCAACTAAACACTAAAAAAAATGAGGAAAATTCCAATCATGATTGTGAAAACTTTTATAAAATAAGTTGCAATATGATTATTTTTAAAGTGTGCATTAAATTAGTTCACAAAAGCATGATAGGTGAAAAAAGTTTCGAGGTTTATAGAGAAGAGAAGAGTCTGATTCATTTGAGTCAAGAAAAATGAACCGCTCTACAATTTTACGCAAATACCGGTACCTTCACAGCAAAATGTGCCACGTACGTATCACGTACGTTAAACGTATGTGATACGTACGTGACTTCACGTACGTATCACATGAAAAAAGCACCACGTATGTTAAACGTACGTTTTCACACGTATGAATATCATGTGTGACACGTACGTTAAACATACGTATTGACTACCATACGTTACACATATGTTGCACACGTACGTTATTCATATGGTTCACGTATGAATAATGTACGTGCAACGTGTGTTAACGTATGTTTTTAGAAACATGCATTTAACATGTACGTTTGTTAAATGCTCTGCTCACATGATAAATGTTTAAGTACCATACATGTGCCAAACCATGGTTAAACATATGTTTTGACCACCGAACATTCTTTTTCACATATATATTGTAAACATACGTGAAACAAAAATGATGTGCAATTAAAATATTCATTTCATGCATTTGACATAATTTTCTTCAGGGGCTTATTTTCTTTTCATCTGTTGAATGATCCACATTTTGAAGGTACATATCTGGATATCCTTCACCTCAAATTTCCTGATCCTAATTGCTCTTTAGGCAATCACAACAAAAGACATATTCAAATTTAAGCCAAATTTAATGTTGAGATGTTAACATCAATTCATTCTTCTGTAATTCCCTTTCATCTGTAGAGAAAAAGAAAATATTAAATGAATTTGCATATGGAAAAACACATAGTTTTTTTTCCGAACATTATTATTTTCTACATATAACTCCTGATTGACTCCCTTTAGAACTAAACTAGAACTGTCCAATATGGACAAATACCCCCCACTGGGTTTTTCAGAGAAGATGCCAAGTAACTAATACTAGTATTTTAGGATCTAAAAGGTGTTCAAAAATTGTTTATACATTTAGAGAGAAAATTTACCGGTAATTGCTCAATATTTTTTTAATGAATGAAACTTTGGCATAGCCTAGTAAAACAGCAATACTAATAAAAATATTGTTTTTTATTACATTGAAAAATTAATAACAATTATTAAAGTATCTTTCTGTTGGAAAGTATGGATGCATTATTTATCCATTTTTTCTACAGTATGTGACAATAGGTCAGGATCATGACACACCCTCAGGTCATAAACAATCTTTGTGTGAAGTGGATACTCCCAACATCCAAAATTATTCTCCATAGGAAAGATACGGACCGAACACGAATTATGAACTTTTTCTGTCAGTGACCTTGAACTTGTCCAAATGACCTTGGGTCAAGGTCATGACACACCTTCAGGTCATAAGCAATCTTTGTGTAAACACAAATTATGATTTTTTTTCTGTCAGTGACCTTGGACTTGCCCAAATGACCTTGGGTCAAGGTCATGACACACCCTCAGGCCATAAGAAATATTAATATAACATATGGTTTTCTTGTTCTTGAGCAGAAATTTTTTAAAGATTTTTCCCTACATATGCCTTTGTAAAAACTTGATCCCCAATTGTGGCCTCTCCCTACCCCAGGGTTCATGATTTGAACAAAATTGAATCTACGCTACCTGATGATGCTTTCATATAAACATGACTAATCAGGGCTTTTCTGTTCTTGAGAAGAAGATTTTTTCCTATATATTCTTATGTAAAACTTTGATCTCCCATTATAGTCCAATCCTATCCCCAGAGGATCATGATTTAAACAAATTTGAAACTACACAGCCTGAGGATGCTTCCACTTCAAAATGACTATTCATGGCTTTGCTATTCTTGAGAAGAAGAATTTTAAAGTTTTTTTCCTATGTATTCCTATGTAAAATATATCCCCCATTGTGGCCCCTCCCTACCCCTGGGGGGTCATGATTTTAACAAACTTGAATCTACACTACTTGATGATGCTTCCTTATCAATATGACTAAACAAGGCTTTGCTGTTCTTGAGAAGAAGATTTTTAAAGATTTTTTCTTATATATTCATATGTAAACTTTGATCCCCCATTGTGGCCCCAACCTATCCCTGGGGCTCATGATTTAAACAAATTTGAATTTACACTTTGACATACAAGGTTTCCTATAAGTTTCAACTTTTTTGGCCCAGTGGTTCTTGAGAAGAAAATTTTTAAAACTTCCCACTAAATTTTCACTATTTCTTAATTATCTCCCTTTTATTGAGGGTGTGACCCTTTATTTGAACAAACTTGAATCCCCTTTACCCAAGGATGGTTTGTGGCAAGTTTGGTTGAAATAGGCCAGTGGTTCTGGAGAAGAAGTCGAAAATGTGAAAGTTTACAGACAGACGGACAGCTAGACAGACAGAAAGACTACAGACAAAATGTGATCAGCAATAGGTCATGACTGACTCAGGTTATCTAATTAGTTATAAAAAATTTTTGTGATTACATGTAAGTCAGCTCAGGTGCAAAATATTGCTTATCACTGATATAAATACAACAGTAAAATTTTAGACATAACCATATGTCTGACAATTAAATTCTATATAATAATAGAACTTACCCTCAGCATAAATCTTTCATAGCTTGGCATGGACCTATATGTTTTTGTGTCTGTTCGAAGTGTATACTTTTTGTCCTTGGGGTAAAAAAGAAAATATATGTTAAAAAAATTGCATTTCAGACTTGTAAAGCAAAACAAACAATATGAAAAATTACTTATTTTACTAATAACATTTAACATTTTCTCCTCTTGTGATTCAAATGTAATGCACATCATTACATGATATATGTATTAAATTGCAAGTCTAAAAGCAATGGGATCAGAAAATTTGATTTCTTTTTTAAGAGTATTACCATAATGCTGGTTAAACTTTCAGAATCTGTTTTTGAAGTCCAGACTTGGCAATTAGGTGTTTACATAGGAGATGAGCTTCAGCCACCATCCTGGAGTGTACATTTAAAATCACATAAAAAAATCACAATCTCAAAATACATTATTTATACTCATAAGGACTGTATGAAAAAGACATCTGAAAAATAAGTGTTACACCCTTATTGCCCTAAAAGATAATTTATATTTCCTCTACGTTTTGTAAAGAAATACATTGGGTGGGTGGAACTTTTTCCATCAATAAATTTTTTTTATAACAGTATGTTTTATACCTCACCTGAATTTTGATATAATGTGCCAGTGTTGATTCACACCTGGGCTGGGGTGCTGACCAAGACAGTTGACTGCGTCAATGTTTTCTTACTTACTTGGTAAACTAAGTTTACATTATGTTATACACTAAAATAAAAGAAACACACCCGTTAGTTTACATGCAACACAGTCTGAAATATAAAGTAAATAAATAACTGTTGATGTTATGTATATTCCTCACCGTTATCCAGACACTGTCTTGCAGACGTCAGACTTCTTACCAGTGACGTCACCCGTTAACGTAAATAATAATCGGAGGTGAAAATTCCGGAACGTACATTTTACATATTTAGTGTTATACGGACGCTACCAACTGTATAATTATGTAATATCTATTTAGGTGAATTCCATTTGAGTTCTGTTGTGAAATTATCGTGATTTTCTTTTTTTTTTTCAAATTCAGCTTTTGCTCCTGAATTCGGAATGATTATATCTACCGATGATCGAGTTCAATTTTA